ACCACTCAAAACAATGAGGGTAAATACAAAATAGAGATGAAGAGAGAATGAAGAACCGAAGGAAAGACCCACACACGAATGGCTCCAAGCTCCGGGAATCCCTTCCTCAGCTCCTAAAACGTGCCCAATGTGTGAATGAGGAAGAAACCCTTGAAAATGTCTTTAAATACGAGCTTGGGGAGTCAGATTAGGGTTTCGCGCCCGGCGCATAAGTCTTTACGCCCGACGCAATGTCTTCCAGAGAGTTTGAGTTACTCTCTGTCTCGATCACGCCCGGCGCGGGTAGTCTTGTGCCATGCGCAGATATGACTTGCAGAGGTGAGGCTCTGTTTTGCTCAAGCCCGGCGCGAGTCATCTTGCGCCCGGCATAGTCACTCTTCTCTGCTCCTTAGCTTCTTAGATTTCCAATCCTATGAATCTTCAGTCCTCAAGTCTCTAGCTCAATACCTGCACAAAAATGAGGTGTATTAAGATATTGTTAGCTAAATTTGGGTTAGTTATATCTGCACACAAAATGAACCAAAAAGAGACCAATTATATTGCAATGGTTCAAAGGATGAGTGGAATTGTTCAATAAGTCTTGTCCAAAAAGAAGTATAATTGAGACTTAACAACAATTACAATACTTGAGGGATCAAAAACACAATTAAGCCTAGAAGTTTTCAATCATGCATGCCAATATTTATGATCATGTCAAAATATAATTGTTCCGATAGGAGACTTCATTCATAGTTATTTTGTCATTTGGAGTATTGAAATGCATGACAGTTTGCTTTAAAATATTTAATTGTGAATTCAAACATTTTCTTAGCAACTATCTCATTCAAGAGTATTTAGTGAGAATTACTTGTTTTTTATTTCTTATACGATGAGGGTTTTATATTCATTTATTTCACATTTATAGGTTTTGAGATAAAAATTCACCTGAGTTTTCTATTATTAATTTCTCTAAAATCTTATTTTTAACTTATGTATAAGTTAATTTTATTTTATGAAAAAATTATTTTGATTTTCTTTCTTAATTTTTTCTTCTAAAAATGCTTTTGAAAATGTTTATCCAAATATAGCCTAAGTTGATAACAATAACTTTTTTTTTCTTATTCAAAAGAGAGCTTATTTGTATGGTTCTCTCTTTAGATCCCAATAATGGTAGGAGTATATATGTAAGGAAATCAAAGTCAAAAAGGTTAAAGAAAGTTAATTCATACCTTTAATTGGCTAGAATTGGAACTTTTATAACATTATTGCCTTTATCTTTTAGACTTTAATGTAGACAATCAATTGAGCTCTTATTAGATCATGTACTATTATAGATTAATTACTTTTTAAGTCGGTAACTTGTGTTGTTTAGAGGTGTTGACTTGTGTATGCTTATTAATTTCTTAATGTTTTATGTTTTGGACCTAAAGTAGGCGATAAAATGTCTTTATCTATTTTTGTTAACATCAAGTATTTAGATAAAATTACAAATATTTTGAAGAGGGGTGCCCTTGTGAGTTTGCAAATACATCATCTCAATGTGTTAATGGTCATCCTAATTGTTGCAACAACTTGAAAAGGTGACGTTTCTTTAATATTCATCTTGGCATAAGGTGTCATGTATCTTTGAATGTTGAGAAGTTAATGGCTTTGGTAAGATAGATCATGAGTGTTATTTGCATTATGTGTACATTAGATTTCCCATCCTCTCAAAAAGTTAGGCATTAAGAACCCTTTTCATCATCTCAAAAATTCATTCTAGGGAGGGTGGATTCTTTCTACCCCTCTAGGTGAATGAAAAGTCAACATGAAACTTAGGTTCTTGTTATTTAGGCAAAACCGAGGTCTTCTAATATTAAGCTCCTTGTAATAGGTGGTATCATACATGTTACATGCACTTTAAGGAAATGATAAGATAAATCTCCCTTGCATTCTTAGTAGAAAATGCATTAGTACAGTGAGATGAGTGAATAAACAGTCACAAAGTAAAATAACAAGATAAAATAAGCAAAAAAGTTGGTCACTTGGCCATAATATTATCACTTAATCATTTTCCATTTTTAGATATAACATTAAATTGTTTGACTTGCCAAGTAACTAGATTTCATTGGTTGCTGTAGCAATTAATTATATTAAACAATACAAGGGATTCTATTTCTCTATTTGTAGAAATGTTGAGTGGAGTAAGAATCTTGATTATAATTTTGCTTGGAATTTTGTTGCTCTTTGTTTTACATGAAGTGGTCTTGGATAATATAAACAACAAAAGGATTTGTATTAGTGTTTTGCAACAGTGATTCTTGCTTTTTTAATGGGTGGGTCCATTACTTGATCAATGTAATTAATAATTAAACATAAAAACAAAGATTGTTTGTGCAAGAGTCCATCACTTTAGAAGTGTATCACATATTACTTTATGCATGAAGAGACAATGACATGTATGGATGAGGTCAAGCAAGAGCAAAAGTTTTGTCATAGCCATTATGAGCGGACTTCATTTGAGCATTAACTTGAATTGTAATCATTCTAATGATAATGTTGTTTACTTGTTGAACTTTACTCTTAAGATTTTCATTCACTTAGGGTCAAGTTTGGTGATGAAAGGAAACATTAGTAGTAGTCTTTCTCCATTAAAATGTTTGAGACACCCATTGATATCTCATCCAAAATAATTTGATTTTAAATAATTAATTTTAAAATATTTAAATAATTATGGAAAATAGGTGAAATAAGAAAATTATATATTTATATATCAAAAGATATGCACTAAATAACAACGCATAATGGTTGTGATTGTAACATTTTGGACACACCACAATGTGAGAGATTCAAAGACTATACAAGTAGGATTACATAATTAAGGATGAGAAAGAATTAATTAGTATTATTTACATTAATAAGATGCATATATTTTTCAGCAACTCGTTATTTAAGAACTTCACAATTAAGTGTGTTTAACTTAGAGTAATTTAGGGATAGTAACCTTTTGAGATGTCTCCTATAAAGTGTGTGAGTAGGGATAAAATACATGAAAAGCCTTATGTTAATTTGTGAAAATAATTGTTGATTCTAAAAAGCAAGTTAGCATCATGGAGAGGGTTACCCACATAGGGTTTTGACTGGTGAAAGGTTTTGACCAACAACAAATTGAGTGAAGTATCATCAAGTGAAATATCATGGAGTGTATTTGTTGAGACGCCAATTCTAAGGGACGTTACAAATAGTATTAGAGTAGGTTATCTCTCCTAGTACGATGTGGTTCAAGGGTGAGTCAAGCGGAAGCTAATGGACTTGTAAAATCCTAAAATGAAAAGGATACAAAGGTTGTACAGGTGTGAGATTACATAATTGAAGGTAATTCAAATGAATTAAATAATATTACATATGCCAACAAGATACATCTACTTTTTTGTAACTTATCATTTAAGAACCTCAATTAAACATGTTTGACTATGAGCAATTTAGGGATGAGTAATATTTTGAGAAGTTTTCCAAGAAAATGTGTGAATGAGGGTGAAGTGTCATGAAATACAATCATTGAAACATCATATTTGAAGGGCATTATAATGATCACATTGCCATAGGTCAAAAGTACGTAGGTTAGTTAGTACAAACATCTATATAACAACCAATCAAATCTATGTACATCATATACAACCATCAAGAAAAAATTGTTATATAGAAAGGATGTGATCATACTAACTCATTATACATTTTTTTTTCTACTTAACCCTGGAGCAGCCATAAAAATAACTTTTATCATTCCTCTAGGAGTCTAGAAAGTAAGTAGGAAGTTTCATAGAAGGCTTAGTCAGCATGTTGACTAAGGCAATCAATTCGTACAAACACTAAAAAAAAAATCAAGATCAAAATACAATAATAAGTGCTACTAACATAAGATAGTTGCCTATAATAACAAGTATAATAATGTTGCCATAAAAAATAACTATGAAGTTAAGATAATTAGGTGTCTAAAGATTTGTTGTCAAAATTTAGGCGTATTATCAATAAAAGTTGCCTTCTTTGTTTTCCTTATTGTTTAGAAATTTAAGATAATATATTTGTGCACCAACAGCGAGTTGGCGCTATGGCGGCAAGATTGGCGCTGGAGCTGTGGAAATTTAAACTCAAGAAAGAGCTCCAGGGACTTGGCGCTATGGCCGTGAGTTCTGGCACTTCAGCACTGGAATTGAGATATGTCAAAAGGCCAACAGAAACTTGGCATTATAGCTGCAGAAGTTGGCGCTTCAGCGCTGGAACTTAAACATATTAAAAATCCAACAGAGAGTTGGCACCATGGCCATGGCCTAACGCTGGAGCATTGGCACTTGAGATACACAAAAAAGGCTAGGTAGAAAGTGACAGCCATAGTGCCAGTTTTGGAGTTGTAGCTCTAGAACTTAGAATTAAAATTCTAAGTTTTCAGACATCACAAACAACAGGTCTCCTTCCTAAGACATATACATATGACACCCTCCTTAGAAACAAAATTAACAATCAAATTTCACGTGAACTTTCCTAGCATAATAGTTATCACAACCTATTAACTGTACAAAATACTACAAACCATCATCAAAATAGCTTCTTACACACTAACATAGTAGATATGAAGTATGCAGCTAACATGATAATCAATTTTTTAAACAATCATAAAACACTTAAACATCAACAACAAGCATGACATCAAGCATCCTTATGAACAAACACATTTCACTCCACACTACAAATTATCAAAATAATCACAGACTCAACACGAAAAATATTGTATCACCACTATAAAGCATCAAAATAACTTCTTATATCCTAACACACAAAATACAAACAAAACTTAAACTAGATCAGCAATGTTAACACATTCCATAGCATGCCAATCATCAAGCAAAATTCATTCTGAAATCAAGCAACTCTATGAACAAAAACTCTTAACTACTCCCTATTCAAACTAAAACTTAGAATTTAAAACAGAAATTAAAACAAAAACATGCTAATTTAGTGTCTTTAGCTTGACAATTGTTGTATGATCATGGCTCCTTCAAATGAGTAATGGTAGTGAGTCTTTCAACTTCACCACCTAGATAATGCTTGAGCCTTTGACCATTGACTAACCAAGACCTTCTAGAAGCAGGATCTTTAAGTTCAATGGCTCCATATGATTTGACAGATTTAATTGAGAAAGGGTCTGACCACTTAAATTTGAGTTTCCTAGGGAAAAGCTTCAACCTGGAGTTGAATAGTAATACTTGTTGGCCAGGTTGGAAGTTCCTGTTCAAAATTTTCTTGTCATGGTATAACTTAGCTTTGTCTTGTAAGATCTAGAAGACTCATAAGCTTGCAACCTCATTTCTTCTAGTTCATGCAATTGGAGCTTTCTTTTCTCCCCTACTGCCTTCAAATCATAATTTAAGGCCTTCAAAGCCCAGAATGCTTTATGTTCCAATTCCACTGGAAGATGACAAGCCTTAACATTAACAAGCTGAAATAGTGAGAATCCAACTGGAGATTTAAAAGCAGTTCTATAAGCCCACAATGTGTCATCAAGCTTGATAGCCCAATCCTTCCTAGAACTAGCCACTATCTTTTCCAGAATTCTCTTTAACTCTCTGTTAGATACCTCAGCCTGTCCATTGCTTTAAGGATGATACGGTGTGGCGACCTTGTGCCTCACATTATAGTGCTCCAGAACTTTTTGCAATTGAGCATTGCAAAAATGAGATCCACCATCACTAATGAGTACCCTTGGTGATCCAAACCTGCAAAAAATGTTCTTCAAAAATTTTATGACAGTTCTGGCATCAGCTTTCTGCACAGCACTAGCCTCCACCCATTTTGAAACGTAATCAACTGCCACAAGGATGTATTCATTCCCAAAAGATGATTGCAAAGGCCCAATGAAATCAATCCCCCAGCAATCAAAAACTTCCACTTCTAAAATGTTTTGCAGGGGTAACTCATGTCTCTTGGAAATTGTCCCTGTTCTTTGACACTTATCACAGCTCTTGCAATGTTCATATGCATCTTTGAACAAGGTTTGCCAATAAAATTCGGATTGGAGAACCTTTGCTGTTGTTCTTTCTCCATTATAATGCCCTCCATAGGGTGAGTTATGACAATGCCAGAGAATATCTCTAATAGACCATCAACACCTATCTTAAACAGATACGGATCATCCCAAACATAGTAATTAAAATCTATGAAGAACTTCTTCCTTTGTTGCTAGTTATACTCCTCCGGAACAACCCCTGCTGCTTTGTAATTTTCCATATCAGCAAACCAAGGTCTTTCACTCACTGCAAGCAACTTTTCATCAGGAAATTCTTCTAAGATTTCTTCTTCTTGACTAGTCACCTGCTCATTAAAAAGTCTTGATAGGTGATCAGCAACATGATTCTCACACCCTTTTTTGTCTTTGATTTCTAAATCAAACTCTTGTAACAGAAGAATCCATCGGATCAATCTAGGCTTTGAATACGCTTTTGTCAACAAATACTTGATAGCATCATGGTCAATATAAACAGTGATCTTTGAACCCACAAGGTAAGATCAAAATTTTTCTAATGCATACACTATGGCAAGTAACTCCTTTTCAGTTATTGCATATTTAATTTGATTTTCATTCACTTGCATAGTGAATAACATGAAAAATTTTATCCTTCCTTTGGCCCAAAGCAGCTCCTATAACATAATCACTGGCATCACACATTAGTTCAAAATCAAGTTTCCAACCAGGAGCTGTGATTATAGGAGTTGAAACAAGCTTACTTTTTAACAGTTCAAAATCCTGTAAACAATCATGATCAAAATCAAACTTGTTATTTTTAAGAAGAAGGTTACTGAGAGGCTTAGCTATCTTGGAGAAATCTTTTATGAATCTTCTGTAGAATCCTTCATGCCCCAAGAAGCTTCTAATCCCCTTCATGTTGATTGGTGGTGGCAGCTTTGAGATGATATCAATCTTGGCTGGATCTACCTCTATGCCCTTCTGAGAGACTTTGTGGCCAAGAACAATGCCCTCTTTGACCATGAAGTGACATTTCTCCCAGTTCAGCACCAAATTAGTCTCTACACACCTCTTTAGAACAGTGTTGAGATTATCAAGGCAAACTTCAAAGGATGAGTCGAAAACGAAGAAGTCATCCATGAAGAGATCAGCCTAACCTAAGGTTAAGCTAAATCATGGTATGGTTTAGATTAACCTTAGGCGTCAAATTTGAATTCAAAATTCAAATTTGGACCATCCAAATCCCCACCCATGTGCTACCACCATGTGCCTACTTCATTTAAATGTGATTTATAATGCATTTGAGTGGCATTTGGAGCATGCCATGTGCACTAATCCACATGGTCGATCACATGGTCCCAAATGCAATTCAAATGTAATCTAAATTACATAATAATGAAGTTGCACATGCACATATTCAATTCTAATCCTAAAATGATCGAATACATGACCCAAAAATAAGCCTATTTTACTCGGTCAAAATACAAGGCCCGTAACTAAAATTACAAACCCAAGTGGGCCAACCCTAATCTACATGAACTTTAGTATACAGTTAGCTAAAAAGCACTATGAACTTTTTCCTGGAGTTAACTCAATCCTTCTCTAATCTCCTGACTATCATAGCCTTAGTAATTGGGTCCTTGGCCCATAGACCTCCATCACTTAGTAAGACAAATTTAGCTACGAAGCGACACCAATAACAAGAGCAAAACATCGGTGATCACTTAACTACAATCCAATGTCCAAGTCATTGAATATTTAATTTAATAGAGTAACAAAGAATTAGAGAATGTGTGTATACCTGTGATAGCATGAAACTATTTTATAGTTATCAAATAGATAAACTTACTATCCTATGTAGACAATAATTAGTTAATCTTAACATGACTAGATCAACTTAAATGTGACCGAGTTGGTCCAAATGTGACTAAATCTCTTAGAATAGTGGATTTAAGTCTAATTCAACTCTACAAAACTGGCTTGTAAGGTGGGGGTTGCTTTCCACTTATATACTATTCAATTGCCTAATCTCTAATCGATGTGAGACTTAAATTTTTCTCAATACACTCTTTCACGTCCAACACTACGCATTGCATATGGGAATTCAATCTCGAGAAAAAAAAATATAATATGAAAAAAGGTTTCATTTTATTTTTTGTCGTTTTTGTGTCCACGATGTCTCAAAACTAAGATCAAATGCATGAATGCATACGTAGTTTTTACGTGTTTGAGATAATGAACCTTATGGATACGCCATACGAAGTTTCTTTTTTTTTTTTCTTTCTGCATACTTTGTATGCTTGATTTCGTACACAGAAAAACAATGGTACAGTATAAATTGTACGTACGACAAATTTTATAAATGAGGTATGCTGATCCATACTATAGCATGCACCCTCCATCTCCATGGATGCACGTACCCAAAAAGCATCGACCACAATCTATATATAGTCTAAAGACACACATTTATTTAATTATTTCCCCCTTATTAATCAGATTCATCATGTTATCCTATTGGAGCTTGCACGGAAAAGGGGAATGGTTATTTGAATTATTAATTTTTATGGGATATTAAATATGGAGAAAAGTTAGATTGAACACTTCCCACGAGGTCCAGCAATTAATTGCATTGCACAGAAGCAGACAAATGAGTATGATCATATAATGGAGACCATTAGACAGAAAATTAATCGATGGGGTTCGCATTGTTAACAATGTTTTTGGTAGGGGAAGCAACTTGATGTGATCTAGATCTGTGTTAGGGTTTCCCAGAGCATAAAGAATCAAACAAGGCTTCTAGATGTACCATAGCAAGCTATTTTCACCTTCCAAACAATTATGTATGCTACCTTTAATTTAATGTTTGGCGTTGGCACGTCTCTAGGGTCTTCCAATTATATATATTTGTTTGCATGTGTGTTTCTTTTGGGTAATATATATAAGAGATTTATTATTGATTCTTATATTACATCATCTATATTATTTGTATATTTTTTTTCATTTTATCTTTTTTTATATGCAAAAAAAATAAAGAATAATAAATAGTATACTATTTATTATTCTTTTTTAACAGCCCGTTCTCCAAGCAGAACGACCCGTACTGAAAGGAGAACGGGCTGTTCTGACTCCGTTCTTCAAAAATTCTTTTTTAATAATCTGGAACGGCCCGTTCCAGTTTAATTTTTTTTTCTCGCCCAGAACTTTTAAAATCAGTTGTAAACCAACCGATCTTAAAAGTTAACTTTTAAAATTAGTTAAATAACCGGTTTTAAAAGTTTAATTTTTAAAATCAACTCTTTTAAAATTGGTTACAAAACCGATTTTAAAAGTAAAAAATAATCGATTTTAAAAAAATTATTTATTTGTTAAATTGCATGTTCTTGGCCGTCAAGATATTTTAGATAAAAAATTAATACTGAATATTTTATATTCTAAATATGTTAAGTACTTTTTAAATAAAAATATTTTAAACTTTTTATCACATATTTATAGATATACAATTTAGACGTATAGATTAATTAGTGTGGGATTATATAATATCATTAAATAAAAAATTTAGAAAGAGAATTTTGTTATATATAGTAATCATAAGTTTTTTTTAATGGAAATGATGATACATATATCGGACATTACAGCTCAGCTACAATGGTAAAATATTTTGGAAGCCATACAGTGACGAAGATATTGTGTTTGGGCATTTAAATTATGCTTTTAAATGATTGTTTTATTATTGAATGGAAGCTCAAATTATTTGGGGCAAAGCCGCGAATTAGGGAAGACTTATGTCTATTGTCAACATTTTAAAAGGTTTAAATATATTTTTAATTTTTTTAATTTAAAATAAATTTTTTTAAAAAATTAAAATTATTATTTTTAGTCTTATTAATTTTAAAAAAAAATCTTATTTTAATCTTTATATTCAAATTTTGTTAGAAAACTTATCAAATATTATCATATAAAATCTTGAGTTGTCAAAATGAGTAACCCAGCTCGATTCGATCCAGTCTGACCCACCACGGGTTGGGCTATAAGTCGACCAACTTAGGTCGGCTCACTTTTAAGTGAACTTAAAAAAAAACCTGGCCTAGCTTACTATGGACTAATAGGTTAAATGGGTTGACTCACTTAAATTAAAAAAATTAAAAAAATTATTAAATTTTATAAAAATTATATATTATAATCCTATATTTTAGAATTACAACTATGTTAACAAATAAAATAAATAAAATGTCAAAAAGGAATTAGATATTATCCACAACCAACTTATAAAATCAAAGTTGTTACATAAAATATTGATAAATAATATCAAATCGACACTAATTATCATAATTCACAACTAGTATGTACAAAATTTAGTAAATAGTATAAATGTATAATCACATAAATTAACATTTAGAAATATAAAAAGTAAAATAAAAAATATAAAAATATATTAGGTGAGCCAATTCATGAGCCAAGACAAAATTTTCTGGCTCAACTCGATTCAAACTCGTGATGGGCCAAGTTGACTCATAAGTTTTAACCCACTTTGATATAGCTCTAATAAAATTTATCTATTAATGTTCCTATTAGTGAAAACATCATAATAAATTCAATTGATATTGTATAACTATCTCAATTTATTACT